GAAGCTGCAGACGGCTTGGGCTTATCAATAAAGCTGCAGACGGCTAAGGCTTTATCCTAACAGTTTACACAGCCATTGACTTTGTGGTAATCTATTATGCATAGAGCTAATAACAACCTCCAGTTGTATACATGTATTATTGATTTACAAAGGAAATCTAGGCAGCACTGCAGTACAGCTGTAATGGCTATGTTCTCTGTGATTCGTTGTCTCGCGCAAGTCTAAACCTGTTACACAAGGATTAGTATGTTTCATTACAATAAGATTACATTCTAACCACAACCTTGTGTTGCTGAGGAGGAAAACATTATTCAATATTATATATACATATCATTATAGATGAGAAACTATAAAGACATTATCATTAAATAAACGAGGATTTTAAAAACATTTGATTTTTTGAGAATATTTGACCTTTAGATTTGTATACCTTAGCATCGTGCAGCTCCACACCAAACATACTAAGTTTCTTAGCATTTTCTAAGAAACGAAGTTCAGCCTCCTCTGGTGTCTGTCCCCTGTGAACACATCATCAGACATTTACCCCACAAATAAGTTTTTTAATCTTATTTTACATCTCAAAATATAAATATGGATGTTTGACAAGAGCAACACCTGTTAACAGTTTAAACAAAAGGCCCAGAAGGTCTGTATAGCTCACCTGTACCTGTATGTGCTGGTAGATCCCTATATACCCTTAATATTTCGCATTAACATAACTGTTATCTTATCTTATCTTATTAAAATAGCTGTACTATAAACATGCCGGCAATTTTATTGATATGAGTGAAACAATATCTTTAAAATAAAAATAATGCTGACAAAGACATCTCCACTATGAGCAAAACCCAGGGCTACAGATAACTTATTATTTCTTACCATTCCGTTAAAATTTGAAAAATTAAAATGAACTGCTAGGTGGCTCTAAAATAATGAAACTATAACTAGGAAGGTAAGAAATGACCTACTTGTGTGTTTTATGTAGATCGCAAATCTTCTTTAGCAGTTCCCTGTCTTGGTGAGGAGCAAACTGGATCTTTCTGATATAGTCCAAACCACGACCAAACTCCTCCACATCGTAGTCGCCGAGCTCTGATTGGACGGTGTACGACCCCAGCAAGGTGTACGTCACAAATGAGCATGGCAGTCTGTGATGACAAAAACATTGAACAGTTAACCCCCTAACTCAAACCCATGGGTTCAAGATAAATAAAGTTCAAGGAACACATGGTATTGATGAATTCAAGGTTGTTCTGAGATTGCCATATATCAATCTGTTAAACTAAGATGAACAATGGTTTTACATTAAAAAAGGAAACACAATAAAAAGTAATTGATTTATCATTGTAAAACGTAAAAACTGTGCAGTAAAATGACGTCTGTATATAACGAAAAGAAACAATAAAAACACTGCTTTCGACATGAAGGAACAACAGGTATTAAAGGAATAACAGAGTCATCTAAGAAAACGTAAGGATATGGTCAGGACCAAGCAAAAATGTTTGATGAACGAAGGTAACTGAGTAATGTGTGGTCGGGGGAGTGATATTTACTGTAATAACAACATGAATGTGTTTATCTTGTATACACTACAGGGTACTGTACCTCTGCCAATTCACTTCTCTATTATTATCAATGATAACATCTAGCTATGTCATAAACATTTGTCTTTACTTTGTATAATTGTCATAATAATTGTGATGTACAGCACTGTACGTCCCCATCCAATCCAGTCGGACACAACTTGAGTAATAATACTTACTTTTCGCTGACGATATCCCTCCTTATTTGAAGACACAATTGATATCTGCAGAAAACAATACAACACTATAATCATGTATACTATTACACTTTATATATAATTCTACAAAATGCACACTGACCTTCACCTCATCCAGTTACAGAAATGTATTACAGGTTTTATTAACAATCTTAAGGCAGATAAAAAAGAAACAAATCTCAACAGAAACTTGAAAGGAAAAATTAAAATAAAAACCATACCAACCTCTATCAATAATTATAATATTGTATTGTATAATTTTCTTTACACCACTTTAATATTTTGACACCTTTTCATGAGTTCTTTACTGACCTGGTAATGTCCTCATGAAGTTGCTGGGGGTCTGGAGGATAAAATTTTACTTCAAAGTTGAACTCCCAAGGACCACCTGGAAAAAAAAGAAGACTATTTGTAAGCAACATAAAATACATACGGTAGTACATGTAGTTAAATGTGAAGCAGAAATGTAATATTGGGCAAATATGGATTTTTCTCAGTACACAGTATTCAATCAGGTTAAGTTAAAGTGATCATGACTGCACTCATTGTCAAGTTCATCACCTGGGCCCATATACCATATACATGTATATGTATTTGGGATGCCATGTAATTCTGTGATATTAAATACAGCCATTGAAATTTGTGAAAGCAAGGTAAAAAATCTTTATCTTCTCACCTTTCAAATGTGGATGGTTAATTTAGTAATTGGAGAAAAATCCTAACATACACTCTAAATAAATACTGATTTAAAGCCATGATTTGCATTTAGTAGAACGTTGCTCATAAAATATTTGTTAATTTGTGATTAAATTTTGTGTTTACATGGACAAATTGTTATAAATATAGATTATACAAGTACTTACTCTTGATCTGTTTGGACAGCTTCTTCAATGTGTTAACCCAATTCTGTAAGTAAAAGTATACATGCCAACATTTAAGAAATCAGTGATTACATTTTGTAGGACTATCAGTGTTTTTTAACATTCTTTTAATGAGAAAATATATTGAGGACTTCTGACAAGTTCTATGTTTATTTTCAAATGAAATCATGAGCAGATCTAGATCAGATAGATATCATTACATAATATTTTATATATATATTTATAATAGTTCTACCTGTGTCAACCATCTTTGTTACTACATACTTTTTGTCATGAGGTCAATAGTTAGGTCAATATATTTTTTTATAATTTTTAAAAATAGTGTATCTACTATGTTGTCAAGAAATAACTTTAGTAACCATAACAACACTTTGCTTGTCTCTTGTAGATTGATCACTTGTTTCATTTGCTTGTATGATTGATCACTTTTTAAAGCGAAATTGTTGTCAGAGAATATTTTTGGTAACTAGAACAACGAAGCTAGTCTCTGATTGATCACCATCTAATGCCAAATGGTTGCCAGGGAATAATTTCAGTAACTACAGCAACAAAGCTTGTCTCTGATTAATCCCCCTCTACAAGCTTCCAAAGATCCTCTTACCTGGCCAGACATCTACATAAACCCAATACCAGTGTATAACAGTATCACTGGTCATGCAGCTCAAAATTGCCATATCAGGTAAAGCCTACACATAAAATATTAGCAGGGTGAGAAAAAAGAATTGTGGAAATAGATTTATTCCTCCTCCAATTAATAATTTCATAGATACAATATACATGTACAAAATGTACGTATATGTATGTTTTCAGAATAACTAACGATGGTATGACAGTATGAGAACTTTTCGGCTTTTTATAATTTATCTGACATGTTATTTGTAAACCTACTTTACTGGGAAGTAACTAACATACTATTTATTTCAAATTAAATTTGGTAAATTTAATATATACTGCCTATTTATGTCCTCAACATCCACCAAACCTATAATAGATTTGATGTAGATGAGAACATATCTCTTTTGTCTACACATTCATTAACTAGTCCATATCGAAACAGACAAAATGTTTGTATTTTATGAATGTCATAGTCAACGTCTGACACAACTTGATTGTCTACAGTCTATTAGTCTCGGCTGAGGATACAACATGATAAATCAACCTACAGCTAATTCTGTCAATACCGTAAAAACCCATGTAATTTGCGCACTTTTTTTTCAGAA